CTTTCCACAATGGTTGTACCATTTTACAGTTCCACCAGCAGTGTATGAGAGTCCCAATCTCTCCACAACCTCACCAGCATTTGTTATTTTCTGTCTTGTTGAACTTTCCTAGCAGTGCTGGGGCAAGATGGTACCTCATTGTTGTTTTGATTTGCATCTCTCTAATAGCTAATGATTGTGAGCATTTCTTCATATGTTTTTTGGCCACTTGAGTATCGTCCTTGGTGAAGTGTCTATTCATGTCTTCTGCCCAAAATGAGCAGTTTTTATTAATGTACTAAAATTTACTAATCTAATAACGTAGTCAAATTTATCAATCTTTTTTTATAGTTAGTGAGTTGTATGTTTAAAAGCTTCTCTACCTTGAAGTCATAAATAAATTCTCTTATTATATTTAATCTACTCATTACATTTAAGTAGATACTAGAAGAGCTAGGACTAATCCATAAGAATAAAGGCAAAATGAAAAAAAAAAAACAACAACAACAAAAAACACATCCTAACAAAGCCTGAAATCAAAAAAACTACAGGATCAAGATTTGCTTGCCAGAAGAAACTTAAATCTTCTCTGAATGACAAAAAAACAAATCCATAGACTTCAGCTTAAGATATAATCTTCCCAATCCTAGTAACAAAAACAAGCCAGAAACCCTATAAAATCATAGAGTTTTCAATTCATCAGAGCTGAGAGTACAAAGAAACCTAATGAACTAAAATCCAGAAAATGAAGAACCCCTCCTGGGAGAAGAGATTCATAAATTGCTTTTATCCGTAAAGAGCAGTAGGAAGAGAAGGCTGCCATTGACAGGGTAAGGTGAAATTAACAGAAATTTCCATATTTTTTTAAAGGGCAAGTGAGAAATGCCATGGCAGGTTAGAATCCCCAGGCTTCCTGACCACAAAGAAAGTTTGCATTTACCCATTGACTTTTCCCCATGAGCTTTCATTAAATGGTTATGTGGAAAATCAGGAGACCTGAGAAAGACCTTCTAAGGTACAGATACACAAAACCTGGTGAAGGGCTTAGGGCAGGAGAGAATGGGGATCAACCTATACCCCAGGCCCTGATGGAAGAGGAGGCAGCCACTTTCTTTGGTTGAGAAAGGCCCCTCCCTGCAGGCCTTCACTACACAGACCACTGCAACCCTCTACGGCTGAAAGCAGGCCGAGACTCCTCTTTGGAGGGTAGTTATAAAATAGCTGTATCAATAAAATGAAATAATTCTTGCTTACAAAATAATACATGAAAATTACGAAGAATAATAATAAAAGGGGCAAAACCAGGGGCAGAAACAGAGAACAAAGGTATGTACCAACTCTCCAGCAACCCAAAATGCTGGCAGCTCTGATTTTCATCTCCTTAGCTCTCAGATTCCAAACCTGCTGCAGGGAAGGTTCTAATCATGCTACCCTCAAATCATCTGAAGGCAAGTACTGAGTAAGAAAGACAAGAAGAGATCCAGGCAAGAAGTCTTTTAAATTAAGAGTTATATGTGGATGTATTCTATTGGCAAATATTCAGAACTCCTTCTTAAAATATGTCACATGATAGTATTATATATACCATACTTAACAGATAATCTGTAAGTGTGCTATTTAAGAACCCCATTTGAGATTCCCAGAATCTATCTACATTCTGATAATTTAAAAAATCTACAACAACAGCCTGCCTCTGCCAAGTTATTTAATAATTACTCTACACGAATGTGCTTTTTCCTGACCGATAAGCAATAAAGGAAGTACATCAAGAGCAACAAAATGTATCATGTTTTCTATATTTTATAGACACTAAAACATAAGCAAAAGCAGTAACCACCAAACATTGCTTATAGTCTTGGTTTTACGGTTGTTTTTTTTTAAATTAAGGTTTAGATAGAGTAATTTCTCAACTACTACCTAAAGTCATCCAGTGTTTCCTGTATCATGTTCTGAATAAAATGGATTTGAACAGATGTCAACGGTGCATTTGGCTGATTATTTCCAATGGTATCAGCTATTTTTCCTGACAGTGAACTGGCAACTCCAGCAGTGACGGAGGATGCTATGTTTGGATCTGAAACAAAGAATGGAGAAAATATTAATAGACAACTTGGAATAAGACACATCAAACATTTTTAAATAAAATTTGGCATGGGAACACTTGAAAAACTGGCAAATAACAGTGTTCCCATGACATTAAAAAAAATCACTGTCTAGAATATGAATCTTAGAAACTTTCCATGACATTATTTCTAATAATCATTTATCTATATACATAAACTGCCTACTGTCTAATGTACGTAATAATAAATGACAGAGGGATTAATTCTGAAGAAGCTCTGAACTCTTTCCTATAAAAAAGATGAATGTGACAAGCTGCACCACAAACTAGATAAACCAAGACTATCAAAAACAAAACAGAAGGAGTATAGGCAGGAGTAAAGCAGTTCTACAGGCAAGGCCCTAGATTTGAAACAATTGTAAAATACATACAGAAGCCTTAAAATGGAAGAACAATCTATATCAAAGAGTTGCTTCTATACAGAAAGTTGCTTTGTATACATAATTCTTATAGCTGAACCTAAAATCCCTTTAAATGTCATCAAGTTTTTATGGGTCTATGGCATGAACTCTAAGGATACGTCTTTAAAAAGAAAAAGAAAGAAAAAGACTTAAAATGAAGTATTTGATAGTTAAATTCGAAACAAAATCCACTGCCATCAAGTCGATTCCAACTCATAGTGACTCTATAGGACAGAGTAGAACTGCCCCATAAGATTTTCCAGGCTATAATCTTTACGGAAAGGAGCTCTGATAGTGTAGTGTTTAAGGCATTTGGCCGACTTCGAAACCAAATGGAGGTCCCTATGAGCAAGAATCAACTTGATGGCAGTCATTTTGGTTTGGTTTAATCTTTACGAAAGCAGACTGCCAATCTTTCTGCTGAGGTGTAGGTAGTGGCTTCAAACTGCTGTCCTTTTGTTTAGTAGTCAAGCATTTAACCACTGTACCACGAGGGCTCCTTATTCCATAGTTAACCATCTCTATTTAAAAAGTCCTAATTTTAATTCTATCCATACCACATTAGATCAAGACAGGTATTAGGTTGTGAGTGAAATTCACACAAAAAGAGTATTAAAACAATGCAGCTGAATTTAACCACTCAGATATTTTGCTGTCTTCCAGAGAGTCCCACTAGAAAACTGCCTATAAACTTTAAACTTTTTCAGTTTATGATTATTCAATTTATTTACACATTTGAAGCTAAGTAATTGTAGAACTTTTCAACATAACATTTTCAATCATCATTAAGTTTTATGTACTTACTTGGGGTAGAGGATCCATTGATAGGTGGTTCATACATCAACTGGGTTTCTAGTTCTTTCTCTGGCTTTTCCAATTTCTCAGGACTTCTTGCTTGGTTAGATGATGAAGAGGTATTTAAATTTCCAGTTTCAGCACCGGAGGAGATCAACTTTGCAAACTTTGTATTTAAAATAAACAATCACCTTAATACATAATTTCTGGGTTTTCCCATATTAATTTGTAACTACTCCCCACCTCCCCCAGTAGTGTCAAGGGAGAGAAAGAAGGAAGGGATATTAGAAGAAAAAAATGCTAAGACTAATAGCAAAATAAATCAAGTTTACTAATAAAAAAAAAACCTTAATGATAATATGATAAGGAAAAATCTCATTTTCCAAGCATCTGCTGTTGAATATCATTTAAAATGAAGATCATTGGCAGAAAAAAAAACCCAAACACCCATAGAAGCTAGTCAGAAATATTTGGAAAATAAAAAACATGTTTGTAACTCTTGAATCATATTTTTTCAATGCCATCCTAAAAAATAAATATGGGAAAGAAAAAAAAAACCACACACACACACACACACACACACACACTAAATACTTAACAGATTTGTCTGTTATTATACAGTACTTCCTGGTAATATTTGATCATTTTGAGCCCTTACAAAGGAAATCAAATTATATATGAGATACAGTATTATATCAGAAAGCAATAATGATGAATTCCATTCTTAATGCCATCAACTTTATATCAAACCTAGAGCAAAATGACTTAGCCATCAATTAGGTACATTATGCTGAATGGAAATACATTTTAAAGGAATTCAGGTGTTCTTGTATAGAGAAATAAATCAAGCATCTTGTTTTAGGAAAAAAAAAAAAGTTTACCTCTGCTGTTATCTTCAACATATCCAAAGATGGATTTCAAAATACTCTTTAGCCATTTGTAACATCCCAATTTAAGAGTATTTGTCTACCTATTAAGTAGACAGCACTGTAAATAATTAGGACATACCCACTGCCATCTACACTCTAGTGATCAGCTCCATGATACATGCTACTGATAAACACATATAGAGATTTCAGATACCTGTTTCAAAGAGTCTTTAGCTTCTTGTTTTCCGAGATACATTTTCTTAGACTCAGCTGCCAGATCATGATTTTCAATTTCTTCTTTTCCTGGAGATCCCATAAAGACATTAAGAGGACTAGAATGCAATACAGAAGTGCTTGAAGTGACTGGATTTTTTCTTGGAGGAAACACTGAGTTCAACTGTGGTAGGAAATCAAGGCCTAAAAAAAGAGGAGAAAAAAATTGCACTTGTATATGATGTCCTCCAATCTTGGATATTTAAGAAAAGGACTTAACAATTGGGTAAATTAATATAGTAGAAGAACATGAAATTTGGATTCAGAAGACTGGTTCATTTCCCTTCTCTACCTCTGATCTGTAAATGTGAATGATGACATCCATCTCCCAAAGTGGTGAGGATTAAAAGTATGGGAAAATACTTTGAAAACCATGAACAAAATAAATGTTTCTGTTTTTGATAAATGAGAGTTGTTAACTTAGTTTTTAACTGTACAATGTATCTTTGTAGCAGCCTCTAAGATAGCTCCTGATGACCCTTACCCCCTGGTTTCCATGCCTTTGTGTAATGCCCTCATTTTGAATGTGGGTTGGATCAAGTAACTTGCTTGTAACAGAAAGATGTGATCATATGTCATTGCCAATATTGTTGTTGTGTTGTTGATATGTGCTGACCAGTCAGACCTGACTCATAGCGACCCCCCCTTGGGTTTCCAAGGAGGTATCACTATGGAAGTAGACTGCCCAACCTTCCTTCCAAGGAGTGGCTGGTGGGTTTGAACCACCAGCCTTCTAGTTAGCAGTCAAGTGCCTTAGGCACTACGTTACCAGAGCTCCCTTTCCAAAATGAGGATATAAAAATATTGTGGCTTTCATCTCAGGTGCCCTCTTTCACTCAATTACTGACTTCCTCTGAGGGAAATGAGCTGCCCTCTGAAGAAGCTCATGTGGCAAGTACTGAAATGCCCAGCCAACAGCCATATGAATCAGCTTGTTGTCCAGCCTTGAGACATCTGCAGCTCTGGTTGCCATTCTTACTGAAGCACTGAGAGAGACCTGAGGCCACAGTATCCAACTAAGCCATGCCTGGATTTCTAACCCACAAAAATTATGAGATTAAAGAATGTTTACTCTTTTAAGCCTCAAGCTGTTTCGGTAGTGTGTTACACAGCAACAGATAATTTGATATCCCTTTTAATTTTCATGAAAGTATTTCTCAGTAGTTCTTACCATCTCCTTTGACCATGGGCTCATCACTTCCCTTGTTAACTACAGCATCTATAATGACATTAGAAAATCAAATTTTTAAATGGTGAAAAGGAAGCCATAGCAGCTGAAGTTTCCTATTCACTACCCACAGGGTTCAGAGACCTAAGATTTTAGGAAGGAAAATACAAATGAGGTTAAAGCTAAACTTTCCTTTTCATTCTTTTAGCTTCATAAATAGCAGTGAATCAGGGAGGGAAAAAAAAAAAAAAAAAAAAAACTACAGTATACACCCATTTCATGAGGCAGCAAGGCACAGTAGGAAACGCACTGGAGTAGGCTCCAGAGACCTGTAATCTAATTATCTATACTATTGCAAAGTGTTGTGATTTCAGACAAGTCTTCAATGCAACTAACCTTTAGTTTCCAAATCTATAAAAAGTGGGTAAGGGCTGACCATCTCTTAACTCTGTTTTGAGGATTAACTGAAATAATGTAAAAGTACTTTGTAAGCAGTACATTCTTAGAATACATAAGGTTTTATTAGTATTATTTCAATGGTAAAATAGGTGTAAGAATATTTCAATGCTATAGTATTATTCAATTAGCAATTAACATGAAAAATTATTTAACTAATAGATTTCATAAAAAATGGTCAAAATTCATAGATAAATTTACCAGGAATTCTAATGGTGAATAAACACCCAAGTTTATCACATTATTAGGAATATCATTTACCTACATGTATGTGTGTCTATATGCACAAACACTTTCAGAAGTTGTTAATTTACAAGATATTAACTTACAAAACTGTTACCTCTTAACAAAAGCAGTGGTATTCTTATTTAAGACGAAGAAGCTGAGGTGCAAACAACATTAAACCTTTTACCTCAATAGAGAGCTGCATCCTTGAGATTAAGAGACAAATCTATTCACAATGAAAACCAGTACTGTGTATTAGTATCCCTGTTTTTCCTTATTAATAGCATGAAATACTAATGAGTGCAGGGGCATATGGCTTCAATTCTAACAACATTTTTAAATATAGCAAAAGTAATTTAAAGGAATATCTATCCTTTATGCATTTCCCTTAAACACCATCAGAGGGGATTTAATTTATTGACCAAACACTTCTAAAAAGCCCTCTAGTACATTTGTCAGTTCATCAGGTGCTCCAGGGTCTCGTAGCTACAGCTCCTAAACTCAGAAACCTTTCTCATTACCAGCTCAAACCACTTTTCCCTCCTTTACCCACATCCTTTCTGTCTTTACTCATTAATGATGTAGTTTGACCTCTTCATCCTAAGGAGGAGGAGGAAAAAAAAATCCTTCCTCTTCCATTAGACAGATGGTGACATGTAACCTGGCAATTTAAGCAGTCATGTTCTGGGTGGAGAAAGGCAGAAGACGCTCCTTTATTAATCAGTCTGTACTGTCATATATGTATTTATTATTTCTGATTGTGAAACTAATTGCAGAAAACTTGGAAAATGGGCTATTTAAAGTAAAAAATGACACTGTACAAGATCACGAATGGAAGGAACCATTTAAACATCCTGCTACTGCTGACACTTAGATTCTATCCAGTTTTTCTCTATAGTAAGTAAAACAGCAATTAACACACAAAGCTCTATGGGCTTCTCTGATGATTTTCTTAGGGTTAATTTGTAGAAATGAGATTATCAGGATAAGAAGCATGAATATGTTAACTTTGCCAAGTTACCCTCTAAAAATTTAACCATATTGTTGGTAATAACGCTACTAGCAGTTGAGACTATTCCACTACGAAAAACAGTATGAACAGTAAATACCAAAAAAAAATAAGTAAATAAAAATACAATCATGCAACATACCAAATTGATATAATATGAACAGTGATGATATAGTGATTCTAGTTATCAAAATGGCAGAGATTTTTCTCCCTAATGGCAACATTTACCAGCAATGGGAAAAAAAGGTGTGGGGGTGGGGTAGCACTTTCATACACATTATAAAAGTGGAGACACTTCATCACCTGGTCATATTGCCCCATGAAAACATTTAATAAATCCTAATTAAACATTAATGATAAAAAAAAAACCTCACTGCTGTCGAGTCAGATACCACTCGTAGCAACCCCTCCCTGGGTTTCTGAGGCAGTATCACTATGGAAGTAGATTGCCCAACCTTCCTTCCAAGGAGTGGCTGGTGGGTTTGAACTGCCAGCCTTTTGGTTAGCAGTCAAAAGCTTTAGGCACTACACCACTGTTTTTTGCCTATCAAAATATCCGAGATTTTAAGATATATTTAGATACAAATATAAGTAAAAGATTACCTACAGAGGTAAAACTTCTTTTAAGAAACTTGTGTGAAAACCAGAATGCTAACTAGAGAGCTATCTGCATAGTTCCTATGTGAAAATTACCATCATATATTTTAGAATGATAACACCTGAAACATCTTAGTGACATAACTCTACTCACAGCAAAGGAAAAGATAGCACCCCAGGGATTGACAAAGCCAAGAAACTGTCATGAATGGTGTTAAAGTGGAGCTACCCCTCACATCTTTTAGCCAGAATAAAAACATAATGACTATCAGTGACAGAACATAATAAGCTCCAATTTGAACAGACTTACCGTCTCTAATAGGTGAGAACATGTCACCTAAACTACTTTTCCCAGTATCATTGAAGCTGGAGAAATCTTGATTTTTTCCACCGTCTGTTTCCTTTGATAAAATATCTGTGTTTATGCTTCGAGGCAAACCTTGCAGGAATTAGATATTAAAAATGAATGTTACTATATCTAAATGAATTTTATCATCAGAAGCTAAGTTCTAAAAATTAATGCCAGCCTTATCCACGTGGTTAGTACTGTTCAAACCAGGAACATTCAGGCAAAGAGAGTAGAAGAAAACAATGGCTCAGTTAACAAGCATTTTCAAGCAATGACCACCAGCTGCCCCTGACTCATGGCGACGCCATGTGTGCCCACAAAGAATTGATTTTTCAGAAGATCACTAGGCCTTTCTTCTGAGGCGCCATGGGTAAACTTGAACTTCCAACCCTTTGGTTAGCGGTCAAGCATGCTAAATGTCTGCGTTATTCAGGGGCTTCCCCATGGAAGAAAAAGTTTCTCAAATTGTTCATATACCAACACTTTATTTTAGCCATTTTCATGGAAGTTTTCTAAATTTTGTATCATTTACTGCTCTCTTAAACAAAGTATACAGAACATAACTTACTTTTCTTACTGATGGGACCATCCACAAATGATTTAAAAAAAAAAAAATGCCTGTCAGGCATATATATATTAACAATGGCTAACAAATAACAAGGAGCTCTGGCAGCATAGTGCCAAGGCACTTGACTGCTAACCAGGAGGCTGGCGGTTCAAACCCACCAGCCACTCCTCGGAAGGAAGGTTGGGCAATCCTACTTCCGTAGTGATAACTGCCTCGGAAACCCAAGGAGGGGTCGCTAGGAGTCGGGGCCGACTCGATGGCAAGCAACAACAACAACAACAACAAATAACAAGATTCAATAAGCATTTGTTCCCTTCCCTCTCTTTTTCCTTTACTAAAGATGGGAGTTTACCATTGCCCTCAGCCTTATCAACCTCAAACAGCTTCATTAACCCCTCTGTAGTTTACTAACAGGGGGAAACCTAGAATGCCAAGCTCAGAGAACAGTACAGTAGACTATAATAAAGAGACATGCAGCTGTTTATTTTCTCTGGCAGTGTATGATGCATGACTTTAGGGCAGGGACTTTGTTTCAGGAAGGCTGCAAGCTCTTCTTGTTCATTTTGGTTAAGGACTGGATTCTAGAGATTCAAGAGATGTTACAAAAGTCTGGCATCATGGATTGGCAGCACAGAACGAATTATGTTTTAAAAAGTGTTTTATTTGGCATCTCAGAATTAAATGAAAAAGGAAAAGCCTGGTAAGAAAACAACAGTTTGTACGTCTAAGAAATGTCTAAACTAGCTAATGAAGTAAAGTTTTCTACTAATACCCCCGGGAGCCCCAGTGGTATAGTAGTGAAGTGTGTGGTTGCGAACTGAAAGTCAGAGGTTTGAACCTACCAGTTGCTCCACTGGAAAAAGATGTGGCACTGTGCTTCCATAAAGATTTACAGCCTCAGAGATCCTACAGGGCAACCCTACCCCATAAGGTATCTGCCCCATAGGGTTTCCAAGGCTGTAAATCTTTACAGAAACAGACTCCCTCATCTCTCTCCTGCTGAGCAGCTGGTGGGTTCAAACCACTAACATTTTGGTAAGCAGCCAAATGCCTTAGACACTGCACCACCAGGGCTGTTTTTGGGCTAATACCGGATAGAAATTATGATATAACTGAATCATTTGTGCATCACCATCATTAAAGTTTGTTTATATCACAAGTTAAATCGTGACAAAGAAATTTCCTCCCCCTTCTCTTGGATTCAGGAGTTTTTAATTCTATTTTTTGTAACTTTTCTTTAAGTTTGCAATTACTTCAAAATAAAATTAATAAACAAAAATTTCAAACTTGTGTGTGGGCAGAGCAAGTACCCATTTGCCAGAAATTTCGCTAATCAACCAGGAATTTTCATTAACCAGTGACACCGCACACCCGAGTATTTCAGTTCTTAATTAATGCTGTCGCTGTGAAACACAAGCCTCCTTATGATAAAAAAAAGCTTATATTAAACAAAAGAATCTTTATTTTAATTTTTGAAAAGTAATAAAACTAATAAAATTATTATAAAATAATTTTTGAAAATGGCTATTTTCGTAATATAGCTAATTCAATAACTTGGCAAACATTATTCAGGTATATTTCAAAAAGAAGTTCTTTTAAGTACCATAATCTTACACAAATAACATGCACTTTACTCTTTTTTTGGTTACAGTTATTTTTGTAAGTACGCTATGCTAATTTTTTACAGCAACATGCAAAGTAAAAATTATCATAACGTGCTAGTGAAAACATCTTGCAGGGGGCTGCCAATGGCAAAAAGTTTATAATGCATGTGTTATTTGCATAAAAACATGGTAAACAGCTATGATATTTGTTTCCAAGAGTTCTTAAACAAGGACCTAATTACTTCTTTTTCTATATAATACACAGTGACTTTTTTTTTTAATTTTTATTTTGATTTGGGTGAAAGTTTACAGAGCAAATTCACTTTCCCTAGAGCATCTCACAATGACTTCTAAGTAAATATGACAGAAATAGTCATAGGAAATTTATAGGAAATATAAAACCTACTGCCATTGAGTCGATTCTGACTCACAGTGACCCTATAATATGAGCAGAATTGCCCATATGATTTCCACTACTGTAAATCTTTACAGAAGCAGACTGCTTCATCTCTCTCCTGCTAAGTGGATGGTAGGTTCAAACCACCAACATTTTGGTTAGCAGCCAAATGTCTTAAACACTGTACCACCAGGGCTCCTTATAGTAAATATACTTATCTTAAAAAACTGTTTCACATTATCAATGCCCCCAAAATTAAAACTCTACTTTTACTTAGAAATAGTAAATTCATACTGAAAAAGTACTAACAAATATTTCTGTCCAAGACAAACAATTGCCCTGCAAGTTAAAAAAGATACACATACATACACACATACCTAATGAGCACAACATTTTAGAAACATACTGGTATACTACACATAAGCTTTTAAAAATATCTGCTGCAAGTTGACAGTATAGCAAAACTTTTTAAAATAAAAAAAAAGAGTTTTCATCAATTTATAGAATATGATCTCTATTGTGGGCAAAGAATATTTTCTATAATAAGTAAGGAGAACCTTATCATATTTCACCTTCACAAAGTCTAAATGAATTCTCTGTAACTGTTTCATCAATATGATTATCAAAACAGAAGAAATCTTTAAAAAATTGAAATCTTTTCTTTATTTAATAAACTACTAACATACTTCTTACTATGTGGTGGGCACTATTTGGCACTTAAAAATGTTCATTTACTCACATGATTTACTTTCTACTTTGAAATATGAAGTAAAAATCAAAAACCAAACCCACTGCTGTCATAGCAACTCTGTAAGACAGAGTAGTACTGTCCCATTAGGTTTCTAAGGCTGTAAATATTTATAGGAACAGCTTGCCTCATCTTTTTCCTGTAGAGTGGCTGGTGGGTTCAAACCTGCTACCTTTTGGTTAGCAGTCAAATGCTTTAACCACTATGCCACCAGAGTGCATAGCTTTTTTTCTTTCTTTGACAGCATCAAATCTTCACGTTACCTGATTAATCTGAAGACTCAACGGAAAGTCATCCTGGTCGGTAGTAGCATTAAGAATGATTAATTTTTATGTTACCATTCTTTTACTCTTAAAAAAATTAGTATTTCTCACAATCAAAGTCAGCTAAATAGAGTAAGCATAGAAGGGCCTTTCATTAACTTCTTCTTTTTCTTTCAACTTCATAGCTAAAGCTAAAATTTTAACTCAGTCTATGATATCTACTAATAATTTTGCTTTAAATACTCACATGAATTTGAGTTCTAGGTTCTTGAAGAAATGACTAATTATGTATATTTGAGAGAAAAAAAGAACTGTACACATAAGCAACATTTACCTGCTTTGTCTTGAACTGCAACTGTTCCTGTCCCCACAACTGCTGTCATGGGCTGTGGTAGAACTGTGGCAATGGAAGTGGTCTTTGCTTCTCTGACAATTCCAGAATTCTGAACTCCTGCACTGGTATTGTTCACATTGACAGTTCGTTTGTTCACTGCCATGGGCTTATTTGAACAACCTTTATTTAAACTTGACTGACATGGAATGGAATATTTCAAAGCTCAGGTTACTAATGTTCCATACTATACATTAATATTTTATAAATTCTGTTAGATTAAAAAATAGTTTCCTTTACAAATGTTCAATGGATCTGACATTTTCACTCAAAAAAAAAAACTTTAAAAATATTTTAGAAGAGAGAAAATTTGAGAAGTACAAAAAAAAAAAGTTTTTAAACTAAGTATCACTATAACATCTTACCAAAATTTAAAATACTCTCATAGAAAAATATTCTAAAACAAAAGTAAAATCAGTGAACAGTAAACACATAATTTTTATATTTAAAGGCTAGATTTATCTAATAAAATTAAAACTGCCAAAAAAAACAACTCACCTTAGAAAAAGCAGTGGAGAACTGAAATGCTATACACTGCACAGATGTCTTGTGAGCACTGATGGTTTTCACTGGTGATTTCAACATCCTTAAATCATATTGATATATTTTCCCCCGGGAAGATCCAATAGCCAAAGTGGCTCCATCAGCCATGAAATCTACCGCAGTTAGAGGGGCATCGGCAACTAAAGTTTTTACTACCCTTTGGAAAAGAGGAAAAAGTATACATAGGTATGTGATTGTATAAAGGTATATAAGCTTCTATAAATAAATGTATACTAAAACAAAAGTTACTTAGAATCGGACAAATAACATGCATAAGCCAGAATTTTAAATTTTAACTTAGAGACACTTCTAATAAAATGGCATGCAAAAGAATTGCTGGACATCCCATTTATTTTTCTTTTCACTTCCAATAGATAGACTTCTACACCTTCTAGAAACAGCATCAATTTTTTTGAGTAATTATTGTTAGCTTGGCAGTAAATGCGACAGAATTCCCCATGTGTTACTCCCCCTAGTTACTCCACAAACAAGTGTTCTAGCCTCCGGTTGAGGAGGCTCTTAAGTATCCCATTCCATTTATCGACCTATGCAGGCCTCCAGAGGACCATGACCTTTCACAGTGGAACAGCTGCTACTTTGTTCTCAGTTGAGCATCTCTTGACCAAGAAGCTAAGAGGAAGAGAATCCATGTGGTTTGGTTCTCTGAGGAATCTAATATAGAAGGAGAGACACTGAGCTGGTGAAGCTGAGCTCTTTGCTAGTGTCTGACATAAGAGAGGAGTGGCTTTCTGACTCTTAGGTTTCTCAGTAATTTCAAAGAGATAAAAAGGAAAAATGAAATAAGTAAGTAAAAACTCCAGCATTATAACAGGGCTGGCAGTAGGACATCTTCTAGTAATAACATTTCCATTTTCTTTCACATGAACTTTAGCTATTGTTCGGCATCGTGAACACAACTGCAGCACTCTTGTAGCTGTGTTTTAGTATATACCTATATATATATGTACATATATATATAGGGGGGCTCTGGTAGCGTAGTGCCTAAGGGCATCTGACTGCTAACCAGAAGGCTGGTGGTTCAAACCCACCAGCCACTCCTCGGACAGAAAGTTGGGCAATCTACTTCCATAGTGATACTGCCTCGGAAACCCAAGGAGGGGTCACT